AGGAGGGGTTGCTGAGGTGCTTGGCAGGCAGAGGCTCTTTGGTGCTGTCATGCTGCTCAGGCCCTGGTCCTTCTTTCCATGAGCCTGTTGGGACAGGCCTGCTGCAGTTGGCAGGGGAAGGTGGACGCTGGTTTTTGGCCCTTGTGTTCCTGGCTGATCTGGCCGTCGTTTTGCTTCGCCACCATTTTCTCTTCCCACTTGCTGCTCCTGCTCTGAGCCTGAAAGGACAGCTCTGGAAAAGCTTATAAAGAACTGGTCCCCAAAGCCAGACTTGGCTGCATTTTATCCAAATAATAAAACTGTCTGCTGCCTTTCCTAGGGCTGGACTCACTTCAGTTCATGAGAATTCAGCTGAAGTACCGGGATGTGACAGGATTGCAAAAGTGTGATCCAAAATGCGTGACATCTGGAAGCTAGACTGTCAGTGAAAGTCACTGACATCACTTAAATATGAAGATCTCTTTGTTGTGAATGTAGGGAGAAAGAAGTGTATCTGTTACATTTTCCAAAGCAGTTATTTTAAAAGAAAATGGAGCATTATGTGGGGAAAGCACCTATGTTTGTAGAGATGTGTTGAAAGCCTTCCCTTCCAGCCCTGGTAATAAAGAAAATCAGAGAGCATTTGAGACTTGTGTGTGAGACTGCGAGGCTCAAAAAGCTCCGTCAGAATGAGGTATCCCAGCTATGTCACAAGTGAGTGGATTGTTTGGTTTCTGAATTACCTGAGCTGCAGTGATGCTCCTTTTGGGCCTGGCAGCAGTGTGGCCAGTGGCTTTCTCTATAGGTCTGATTTATGGATCTCTGCTCTGTCCTAAACACTGCTACTTGATCCTTCTTTTAAATACTATCTTTGTTTCCTTCTCTGCTATAATTTGTTGCAGGCTTCTCAGAGTTGACAGAATCTAACAGTCCACCTTTCACCTCTGAAAACTGTTTTCATCTGCTGAAAGTCCTTCATTGGCATTGCACAATGAAGGCTTTTACCTTTGGAGTCTGCATGCCTGTCTGTCTTCCATCTGGATAACAAATGTATCTAGTGTATGTATGTTTTGTGTATAAATAAGAAAATAAAGTGTATGATACTCCTCAGGGTGGTGCATGCACATGAGAATCAGAGGCATTTCAGTACCTAAAAATAAAGGATTTTCTGGAGGTCTTGGGATATCTGAGGTTGAAGTATAGCTTGGACATAGATAATTAAAAGAATTCATTGGAGTGTTTTATCTAAGCTCCCCATTTCATGACATGAAAGAAGCTCTTACTAATAGCAGTTGTATAATAAACTGCATTCTTTTTTTGTGAAACTGTCAGTATTGCCCAAAATAGGGAAGACAATTGCAGTTTTAACTGGGCGTTTGTATGGTCAGCACTGTCTTTAGTTTGAAATTGTGTTTTTAGGAAGTGTTTCCCAGAGACTTCCTAGGTGGCACTTGTGTTTTGAGCCCTGCAACTTTAATCCTACACTGAGAAAGATTAGAAAGCAAGTTACTTAAAATGATAGTCCTCATTGGCACTTGGTCTCCTTTAGGTCTGTTTATTGCTAGCCCAGGTGGAGTTGAGCTACTGTGAGGAGTTAGAGGCTTTGTGTTCACAGAACAGCACCCAGTGGTGTCTGTGCACAGTTGGCTTTGTTAGGATTTACTGCTCCCATCTCTTCCATATTTGTATTCAGTGAGCTTTTGCAAGTAGTTGCTTACATTTAAAGAATTATGTTTCAAGATACCATTTAAGGCTTTTCTTTTAATCTGCATGTTATATTGTAGATGATAAATACAAGAAAAGCACTGGAGATTGAAGAGGATGAGAGGTTTGAGTCAATCACTTGAGCTTCAACTTAGTAATGCAAATCTGGTTTTAAGTGACCTTATTGATGTTTGCTCAAAGTAGCTTCCTTTTGGTACAAATGACTGAGCTTTGTTGCAGCTATTGTACAGGTAATGTAGTGTCCCTTTAGAGATTGCCTTTGCATCCCTGATGCAACCTCTCTTTGCTTGAACAGAGAGTGCCTGCAGGAATGCCTGGAGCTAAGACAGATCTCGTGTGCCTCATTTGATCATCTGTCAGCAAAGAAGCGAGAGGATAGGGCAGGGAAAAACATGTGCCCCTTGCTCTGACGCAGCTCTTGGAAGTTTGAGGAGCTGGCTATTGGTGAAGATGTGCAAGTGGAGGGCTTGGTACCAGACAGTGAGGGACACAAAAGTGTGTCCCAAAGGGTCCTGGGCGCTTCTGTGGCTTCATCATGAGGAGAGGTGGCAAGTGACTGTTCCAAGGGCAGGGTGCGAGGGGCTGGCAGGATTTTGGGCAGCACTGGTAGGGTAGGGTAGGGTGGTGCCAGCGGTGCTGCGCACCCGTGTCCTGCAGAGGTGGCATTGTGCAACAAACAGTGCCATCTTCTGGGAGGAGCCGGAACCGTGACCTTGTGGTCAGCGTTACACGTGTTTTTCAAAGTGGTGGAATGGGTTTTTTGTCGGAGTTGGGGTTTTTTTGTATTTATAAATGCTTCAAAAATTAAAGCACCGGAAGTCAGTGTTAGTGTCTGGTAATGCAAGTCCACTTCTTCCATCTCTGACTTTTTGTACTGATACAGTTGTTAAAGGAACATTTTAAGCTGTATTTTGTTTAAAAGAAGAAAAGTTTATCAGCTGCTGAGCATAGTCTAGAAAAGTAAATCTCAAGAATAAAACTAAGTTCTTCTTTGTTTAAGTCCTCTGTTACTTCCATAAACAAACTTCATGAAGCCTAGTAATTGCAACATCTCTTCTAACAGAGAGCAGTAGTGACCTATAGGAAAATGTTAAAGTCAGAATGATTACTTGGACTTATATCTCCTTCTTCTGACCATATCAAAAGGATAAAAATATTTTCTGTCTTAAAATTATTTTCCTATAAATAGTTATATTGGGAAATATTCAGTGTGGTGCAAAATCTGGGATTAGGGTTACTAAAATTATCCTAGCAAGTGGAGTGTAATATTCAGCATTTACTGAAAGTCATTAATGGCGTAGATCAATCTCCTGAAGGTCTTATTTGGAGGAAGTGTGCAATTTTAGTAACAGTAATGGAACTATATGAGAGATGCAGCTGACATTGTGAGGAGGTTTTCTTGTTACACACTTCAAATAAATAAATACATGAATGTAACAAAAAGCAAGTAAGAAAGTACAACTTACGGGGGAGGGGAAAAGATTAATCAATGTGTTAAAAAAATCTTTATTGCTAGAAGAACCTCGATAAGGTATATCCAGAATGATGAGAATTTGTGAGCTCTCGATAGGGAAATGGATTTGGAATTGGTTTTATTGTGTCATGATTGCCTAGGTAATTTACCAGCAAAGATGCAGTGGAAAAATAGTTTATTTTAAAAAGAAGATAATGTTATTTTGCATGTAAATTATAAATCTGTTCTGTGTCACATTAAGATTGCTAGAATCAGCACATTTTGTATTCCAAAGGGGTTATGGGACTATGGGGTCTGACATTTCTTCATGGTATGGTACTTAAATGTACAATTAATTTCTAGTTAAGATGGTAATTGAATGTGTATTTCCTTTTTTAGTATTAGTGTCAGCTTGCCCTGTCATGCAATATTTAACATACGAAGAAAATGTCTAACTTCCAGTATATTCTGAATGTTTACTGTGTGATAATCTTGGTGTTTATGCAAGTCCCCAGTATTACAGTTGGGACTTTCAGTTTCTGACATTTGAAAGGAATTCAGTGTTGACTCATCTTACCATGTTGATTTTGAGTTGCTGATAAAAATCAGCTGCTAAAAGTTCCCTTTGCAAGGGGTCGTGAACCTTGAGTGTACCTCACAATAAGTATTAGATTTGCTTAGATAAAATTTGAAAACTGTTTTTGTCTTGGACTTTAGTAAATTACTAATCCACAGTTTGGGAGTAAAGTATGTATAACAAGCTCATTAACTTGGAAAATACTGTTCCAAATACCTGGAAAATATTGTGTGATTCGAGAAGTAGAGATGTAAGAAATCCATTTTAGCAAAGGAAGAATGCATTGCAGTTCACAGGAAAGCTGCCCTTCTATGCATCTGACTTAAGAATTTCAGCAGTGGCATTCCATACAGGAGGCAAGGTGGTAACCTGACATTAAAGTAGACGTTGACCATCCCTCATGGGTTTTCTCTATCATAATCACATTTTCTGCGCGATAGAGTGTAGACTAAACAAATAGTAGTGTTTTTGGAAAGACAGATCAGAAAATCTCTGGTCTTAAGAACGAAATTATACTATTATACATTGTAATATATGTTAGAAGTGTTTTTATTACTAACTGAAAAAGTGCGCATTGTTCTACAGAACGCTACTTAATATTTATGCAACCTGCACGATATCAATGGAGTAGGTAACTTCAGGGAAGTAGTTTTAATTGAAGCAAAACCAAGAGTAATGTGTGCTGTGTAAATAGTAGTAATATTCTCATCAGAATACATCTACGTGTGCCAGAATGAGGAATTCAGCCTCAGAGCAGTTGTCAATGTCCTGTCTGGAAAGCTACTCAAAGATTGATGTTTATTTTTTTGTTTGCCCCACATCCCCCAGTAGTCAGTATTGACTGTAATGGAGCACATTACAATAAGCTGCAGTGCTTAAAATTTGTGATGGCTATTCATCCTATGGCCCAATAGTACAATTTTTTTAAAGATACCTTTAGGAGTACGTGAAAATGTGTTTGAGAAAAATATTCCTTAAATGATTTCTACCAAATGCAGTTTACCTTTAATCCTTAATTTTTAGAATTTATGTTATGAACCTTTTCCAAAACACTTTGAAGATATTTGTTAACAAGTCTTAAAGATAGTCAACTGGCAACTTCCGCTTAATTAAATGGAAAAGTTGACAAAGCTTGCTGCTTTTGTGACTAATGGTAAACAGGTATTTTGCTTGGTTAGAGCTTGAACAATTTTATTCTAGGTCACTTAGATCTTGTGCACTAGTGAGTTCATAATCCTGACTTCCTTCCCATTTTTTCATACGCAGGCAGAAGGAGAAGACAGCCTTAAAAAGATGCAGCTGATGGAGCTTGCAATTCTGAATGGCACCTACAGAGATGCCAACATCAAATCACGTAAGCATGTCACGAGCTCGAGGGTCAATGCCTTAGAACTGTTTGCAGGCTTTGAATGTTAAAGCTACCTTTGGAAAATGTACAGTGGCAACTTATGTTGGAGAATGGAAGGCAGTAAGAACCCAACAAAACTGTAGGTAGCTGTTGTAAAAGATTTTTGGGGGATAAGTTATGTCCATTTGCCGGGTTTTTTATCTTGTTTCTTGTCCCCATTATTTTTTTAACAGTATCTATGGGTTGAAATATTTACTAAGATATATATATAGTGTAAAAAACCTCAACCCTTAAGTTGAATTTTTCTGGTTTACAGTCATTTTTTGCTTAAAGCATATAAAGGACAGTAGACTCCATTGCATTTTTATATTTAGGGATTTAATTTTAAAATGTTACAGATGTTCAGGATGCTCTGAATACATTTTTCTGTATTATATTCCTTCCTTTCATCTTGCTTGCATGTGTACCCCCAATGTTATGTTTTACCAACAATTCATCAACTGATTTCACAGCTGAGTTCACACGGATCAGTGATGTAATGAGCCGTTTTTACGATTACTTCCATTACATTTGTGTGAAAATGCTTTTGCCAACGCATGTGTGCACAGGTTTACACTTGAAAATTAATTACACGCACCTACTAATGAAAGCATACACCTATTATGTGTGATACAAATTATTTTCTTCAGTTGAAAATCTAATTTCTCCTCCTGAAAATATAGTTGCTGACTCTGTTCAAAAGTACATTTTTGCTGTAGCTGTGATACAGATGTCAAATGTAAGCACAGTTAAATCAGTCTTTTCACTAAGGACCTACTGATATTTGCAAATTTGTTTCTCCTCACAGCCCCCATTTCAGTGTTGATTATGTTTAAAGGTTGGAATGCAGTTAGGTCAATTTGAGAGTGCTTACACCAGTGTAATTATTCTGATTTGAAAAGGGACATAAGCAAGGGCTTTTACAACTACAATGGTAATGGTAAGTCTTTCAGCCCTAATGAACACTATGATATTTAAAGCTAGATCAGTTTTAAATATATGGTAGTCTCTAAATTATTGCAACTTTATGATTAAAATAGCTTTCAGAATAGCTTAAATTTATGCAAACTTTCACACAGAAATGTTTTTAATGATTTGAGCATTTTCTTTTTCTGGTCTGTTCCCATTGGTCTATTATAACAGTATAAGTGGGAAGATGGAATTTTTAATTTATTTTTTGACTGGAGATTGCCACACTAATACTCATTATTTGATAAGACAATTTCAGTCTTTGTGTTTGCATTTTACTGAGAAGTTGAAGATGTAGAAGCTCTACTGGTTTATTTCTGTTTAACAAAGGAAGTATAAATATTTGAGTACTAGTTTTTTATTGTTTCTCTTTTCAGGCCACCTCTAAGTTAATTAAATCTATGTAGATCGACAGTAGTGCATAGAAATGCATAAATTATAACCCTTTAAGACTGACTGTTACCAGCAGATATGTAGTGCTTAAGTTGTTCATCTGGTGTGCCAACAGGCTTCAAATAACACTTAATTGAACGTGCTAGCACCACTTCAGAAAACAAACAAGACCACCACAAACAAACAAAAAGCCAAACCAGTACATAAAACCCACCTATTTTCTTTAACTTAAGCAAGGCCGATGGTGAACTTCTAATACAAAGGAAGTATGTTATTTGGTGAAAGTTTATATGGAAATAAAATTTGAGCCTGTTTTATTCATGTTATGGTAGGACAGGACCAATTCATGTTTCTAGGTCACCTTCAGCTTCACTGATCCTGGAAATGGGAATTGTGTATATGTTTAAATAAAATTTTAAGACACGTAAAAACTCTAGACTGATACAGCAGCTCTGCATAACTGAGTGTCTGTGGACTCTATAGATGCACTAAATTTTGTACTCTGTATTTGATTGTGATAGTATTTTCCTTGTATTTCCTGCATGCATCTTAGTCTCATGCAGTCTTGATAGCATAAATGAAGAAATGTGGTCTAAATGGAGCTTTCGTGCTGTGTAACCTGTTTGAGAAATCTACCTCACTGTTTTACAATGGCTTTTTTATTTTGCATGTTCATACTTAATCACACTGGAAAATGGAAAGCTGTTTGCATTTGAATGGTGTGCTTTGGCACTGTGTGATCAGCGCATGTACTAATGATTTCCTTTTATTTTTCTTCTTTCCTACTTTTTCCCTTTTTTCCCATTCTTTCCACGTTTTGTACTGCTATCTCCATACTTTCCTCTGAATTTCTTTGCTTACTGTAGCAGCCCTTGCCTTTTCTCTTGCAGCAACAGCCCAGGCTCCAAGGATTATTACTGGGCCTGCGCCTGTTCTCCCACCAGCTGCCCTGCGTACTCCTACGCCAGCTGGCCCTACCATAATGCCTTTGATCAGACAAATACAAACCGCTGTCATGCCAAACGGAACTCCTCATCCCACCGCTGCAATAGTTCCTCCCGGACCCGAGGCCGGTTTAATTTACACACCGTACGAGTACCCCTACACGCTGGCACCAGCTACATCAATCCTTGAGTACCCTATTGAACCTAGTGGTGTATTAGGTAAGACCTTTGTGCGTGGATGGCTGCAGAATGTGTTGCTTGTGCTTCTGTTGTGTTTGCAAGGTTGAGGTTCATGGAGGTCAAAGAAAAAAATCTGAAGCGACAAACTTATTTCAGGTATATCCAAGCCGCCCAGGTGAGCTGCTCAAATAGTGCAGCTCTTAAACATTTTAAATGTGTTTGGCATTCCTGAATGTGTGTGCTTAGTTTATATTCATAAATTTACCAAAAGTAAATGTCTTCATGTTTGTATGATATTAGATGGCAAGGGGGACAAAACCTAAATACAAGTTGCCCTTACATAGGCAAGGGAGAAAGAAGCTAAATACAAGCTGAGGTCTATTATATGTCATCTGGGCTCCCGTGAATAACAAATCAGTTTATATTCTCTTTAACATAAATTAACATCCAGCAGTTTTTGGAAGAGAGGGCTTCTCATTTTGCTATATCATATGAGTTAGCAAAACTGGAGGGAGTGGAGAAGTCTTTGTTCAGTTGGAGTTTTTGTTTATTTAGTACGCAGCTGATAAATCTCTCCTCAGTGTCAGAAAGCGCTAAATTATATTCTGAGCAGAAAATTATTTCAGTGAATGAATATAAAGCAAACCAAGTTCTCACCAAAATAAAATAAAATTAGCAGCTTTACTGATGGCTTCTTTTATATACGTTGCTTTGAAATGTCCATCATTCCTAATATTTCAGACCGCTGACTTGGTGTGTGAAGGCAAGAATGATAAAGCAGCCGTGACAATTCAGTTAACTGGCCAATATGGAACAAGCAGTTCCAATAGTTTCTTCCTTCCCTACGCTCTCCAGAATCTAAATAATCTTTCTCTTCAGTTTGTTCTGAATTGCATATGACCTTGGTCCTGTATAATGTTGATTTTATAGGACTTTGATCTTAGTTTGTTCAGTGGCAGTTATTGATTTACACGAATTCTAAACATCTCTAATGAACATTGGACAATAAGGTTCAAAGTCAATATTTTGTTGAAAGTATTGCAAAAAATCAGTGTTTCATGTGACAAATACTTGGTGAGTTATCTGTATGTGTGCATGTTTCCACATTATCTACAGTAAAAAAGAAAATGTATTTCAGGCTTCTGTCTTGCAGGATTAGTGAATCAATAACAAAAATTCTAGTAGGACAAAAGTATGCATTATGTCTGTCAGCTCATGGTTGTTGTCAGTTAACCCATTGCCAAAATTCTGCAAGCATATGATAGCACTATTGTTTATTAATTTCCCACAAACATTTAAATATTTTTCCTAGCTCCTCTACCCTCAGTAGAGTCCAGTTGTGGTACATGTGGGGTAAAGTCACAAAGAGTTCATCAAAGTAGCTGTTAGTGGTTAGTGGCAAGCCCCTCTCCTGAATTCACTTAATAGCAAGTAAAGAAATACAGCATTCCAGAGTAAAGTTTATTACAATGCAGACAACTTGGATTCTCGCAGGATTTTCTATAAAGAGATATGAGGGAAAAATTAAAATTATTTCTAAAATGGCATCTGAAGCTACTGTACACTCTCAGGCCCAACTGCGTGAGGTGTATTGCCCAAAACAGACCTCATCAGAAAATGTTATTTAAAGAAGGAAAAGGGAGCAGGGAAAAGAAACCCACACTCCCCTTTAGCTGTCTAGAATCTATAACTCTTAATACATCTGCTCTATTATCTGAGCAATTGTATGGAGTTAATTGCATTAAATTTGGATTTCGTTGAGTTTTATTTTGTTATATGCTCATTCTCTTTAATAGTATTTTGTCCATTTGTGTGGTGGACCTTTAAGATGTTTTAAAATAATTCTGTTAAAAATGGAAGAGAAGTGCATCCCTGTCAGTATTTTTGGGGATGTTGGTGTTGAGATCAAATTTTAGTTGGTGACTAACTTTCAATTCCCTTCCTTTTATCTTCAGGTATGGCTTTCCCAACGAAAGGCTAAGAATTCAAGAACGGTCTTAACTGATCCTTCATCAGATCTGAATTTTAACAAATGCTTAGTTTTCAGCAGCCTTGAAAAAAGCTTGGCCTAGCAGTCAGTGACTTACTTGCACTTTTTTGCACATAGATTTAAAATAAAATAGTGCTATTAATTTGGATTAGGTCCTATTATTACAGAGTAGCTGTAATTTATGAGTGTATAGTAGTATACTGACTGCTAAGTGTTCTATATAGTGTTTGCTTTACTAATCACCTAATTCATTGCAGTTCATACTTATTGACTTAAAGTTTAAAATCACAATCTGTAGGCTTGAAGAATTGCTTTAAAACTTTTTTTTGTGGTAGAACTGGAAGTGATCTTAAGGTTAGCAAATAATTGTCAGTATTAAAGATGGCATTATTTAAAATAGTCCTGCTGCAAGAAAGGCACTTCAGTGAATATGTGACTAGTAAAGCTTAAATGTGCTTGGGTCTAATAGATTTCATGAAATACTGTAATTTTGGGATTGTAAATGAATGGATTAAACAGGTTAAGGCCAGGATGTTTAAAATAAATGCAATATTAATCTGCACAGATAAACTTCTTTTTAAGATTAAGATTTGAAACTACTGTGCCTTAACTTGTTGCTTTTCTTAAAATGAACTTTTGTAGTTAATGATCATTTAAATCCATTTTGATAAACCTGCTGTTAATGTTTTCTGTGAATGTTTTCTAACTTTGTCTTGGTAATTGCAATTTAACTAGGTGCGGTGGCTACTAAAGTTCGAAGGCACGATATGCGTGTCCATCCTTACCAAAGGATTGTGACCGCAGACCGAGGTTAGTTTAGTTCTGCAGTTCTTGTTTGTAAGAAGTGCTTTGAGTGTACATGAGATTTGCAACACCACAGCTGGTTAACCAAATACCCGGTCTTGACCCATTCATGATTTTTCTCAAAAACCTAGACAGTTAATATTTTAAAGCTTTGGGAATGCTTGCGGTTTTTAAAAAAAATTTCTAAACTTGGCCTTCCCAGCTCAATTAAATATATATCATTTGATATATTTAACAGAAATTCTATAACTGATTGAGTTTTAAAAATGAAACATCCATCTGCATCAGGAAACGCTATGAAATCAGTGCTGCAATAATTAATTTGGTTGTGTTCCCCTCTTCCCCCCCTGTCCCCGGTTCATTCTTTTAATTGGTGTGGAAATATCAGATTGGTGTTGCAAAACAAAATGAATGGATGGTTGCTTAATGAGAAAGAAGTAAAGGAATAAATGCCTCCTGTCTGTGTTTGGAGAAATCTGAAGATTTAAATTCCTTTTTTATTCCAATAAACTTTTGAGCCACTGTACTGTATATTATGAGGAGGATGCATGTTCTCAGATACCTAACTGAATTCAGAAAGGTAAGGGCTGTGAAGATAACTTCAAAAGTTGTTTGAGTTTGAATTAGTATGGATAGGGGAAGGGAGGGTGCTTTGGTTGTTTTGTTTTTTGTTTGGTTTTGTTTTTTTTTTCCAAAATCTATTTCTTGGTATTTGCCTTTTGCTGCTAAAATGTGTAACCTGAAGGAGAAACAACTTTTGAAGACCTGTTGATGAGATGACATCCAATATTTGGGCATCTCTCTTTAACCCTTGAATGGAAAGTAAATCTTCATTTTTCTCCTGTTACTCAAGTGTCATGCCTTTGGACCCCTGAATGAAGTGTTTAAGCTAATTGAGAAAACTGATATTTTCGGTTTATTGACATTTGCTAGGAAGCAGTGTGAGGGATGAATTCTTATCCCATCCCTGCTGCTGATTCAGTGTGGTTTTCAGCAAGTCATTTAATCTCTCTGTGTATGGTTTCCCATTGGTCAAATAAGGATAATAATACTTCCCTACCTCACAGGGGTGTTGTGGGGGTTCTTGTTTTGTACAGGGCTTTGAGGATGCAAAGCATTTTGTGCCAAGTATTATTATTCTGCTCTCACCCAAATCAGTCTTGTGCAGATTTCCATTATATTGTAACATTCAAAAGCCAAATTCCAGTGACAGATCTGACATCTCCTAACATTGACCACACTTCTCACAACCTTCCATAAATTAACTACAAGAGAGAATACAGATTCTGGTCAATGCAGTAAATGGGGACCTCCTGGATATTTGGTATATTTATGCAACATTTTTATCATTGATATAATCGTAGGCTTTACAGAAAGCATAAAGTGATAAGGGACACTATTTTAGTTTTCTGTAAGATTGTTTTATATCACTGTCCACTACTTGCAGCCCATTGGCTTGTTCTCATTTCTTGAGAACTCTTCAATGGGGCAGCAAAATATAATCAGGTAAATGTCACAGCCCATGTTTCAAAAAAAAAAAAAAGAGAGTAAAAAAGAAAATAGGTTTTAATATTTCCTTTTTTTTAATTTTTCTATCTCATTCAGGAGAAATTGGTGATAAGGATTTGGTTGTCTTTGAAAATTTGACCTGATGTTGCAAAAAACAGTTTTTTGCTAATGATGCTTCATGATCTGCAATGATAGTTTCAGGTGACAGATGTGGCTACCTTTTTAGCAATTAGGTATTTACCTGAGACAACTAGTAAATACACTGATAAAGTGGGGATAGGGGTGCTTTCATGGAGAAAATGCCATTTTGTAGTTTATCATTGTAATATTTGCTCAACATGGATTTTAAATATTTTTGGAAGGGCCTAGATGTTTCATCTGGGTCGCTTTAAAGTAATTTAAATTAATTATTGGCATAATTTCACCCTCTTTTAAAATGCAGCCATTTTGTGATAAACCAGCATTCATTTCTAACAATTTTGGAAACCCACTGTCTTAAGTAGATAAATAAATACGTGTCTTTTTCCTGTGGAATAAATCATGCATACCTCTCTCTTAGGAAAACCGTGCTGATATTTCAGGAAAACATTATCTTGAAGTCTTATCTAAATAATCCCAGTTAATTTTACAACTGAACTCCACTGTGTTTTGAATTTTAAATCTTAGGTTATCCCTGCATATATTTAAAAGTCTCACACAAAAGGTTTTGGTGACAACTTTTTTCAGCATTAAAATTTTTTTTAATGTACTAAAATTATATTGTAGAATTAAAATACTGTCAGTATTTGCCATATTCACCTATTTGGCTCTTCTGTCACCAGGATATTTCTGTAGCCATGGCCACAAAAAGCAATGTCAGCAAACCGAAATACTTCTTTTTTCAATGTGGGATTTTTTTCTTACGTAGTTAAGTGTCACTAAATCTATCTTTGCATTCATCGGGTCTAAAGTTGGTGTTTTTTGGTTTTTTTTTTTAATTCTAAATTGACTCTCAGATGATTTTGTAGTACTACTGCATTCACTTTTTAAGTAGTTTTTATTCTTTGCATAATTTTGATTTTTTTGTTGGGTTTGGGTTGTTTTTCCAGAGATAAGCACTGCATTTAAAGCAAAAATCCCCAAATGTGTAAATGTTTTACAACTAAGCATGTAGAATTGGTGAAGGGTTGGAAAATATAGCTCATTTTAACTCAGAATAAACCCCCAGTTTATAAATAATACAAAATTGAATTTGATTCATATAACAGAGAGACTGACTGATTTAATTGTAATAAACTGTAAATGGTGTTGCACAGTTGACAAACCTGTGTGTACTGTAGAAGGCCAGAGACTTGGCAGAGGATGTATCACAGGTGTCCTGGTATTTTTCTAAAGGTAGCTTGCTTTGATTTTAAACTCCACAAGAAATATTAATGCTGAGAATTTTCTCAAATGTTTTATCCAAACCAATTTTCACATAATTTATATATAAATTTTAATACCTTTTAATCAAATTTGTAATGAGTATCAAAATGCTTTAAGAGTCTGTTTCTAGTATACCTGTAAAGTGGTAAGATTGTGCCACATAAAATATTTATTTTTATTTTTTCTTCTTTTTGAAACAGCTGTAATAATTTAAACAAATCCCACTTAGCATGATTCTGAAAAAAAATTCAGGGAGCGTTTGGTCTCATTTATGTTACAGTAGTAATTTTTTGTAGTGTTATGAACTGTATCCTAAATGATAGGCCACTTTTATTATGTGAAACTAAATGAACCCACAAGAAAGATTGTTAAATCGATGGTATCTGTGAATATTACACCTACTGGACTTCATTTATGTAATGGCACAAATCTGACTTTGCACTGAATACCTTTCTCACTTTCATCTCCTCTGCCTTAGTCAAAATGGCAACAGTACAGAAACTTTTATCAACCTCAGAATTTATTAGCTCTAATTAAGCTGTTGAATGAGTCTTAAAAAAAAAAAAAAAATTATACTACTGTTAAGTGGACCAAGTTTGGTGAAGGAGAATGCGAGAGAATGATTAAAGAAGGAATAGCTCAAGAACATTGGGAATGATAACTTTCCACTTGAGAACTTTTTTATGTTTTACTGTAATTTGTTTGTGGTTTTGGGTTTATTTTTTTGTTCGTTTTGTTGGTTTTTTTCTTTTTTCCTTTTTTTTGCAAAAGAAAATAGTATTTACAGGTGGCTTCTTTTAAAATATAAAAATATAAAGCAGGAATGTATATGAAATGTCAGATTTTATTGTATTTGCAGAGTATTAGCTTTGAAAATGAATAAAGAGAGCTGTTTGTAGTTTTAAAATGCCTTATTAGTATCAATTAGATATTTTCTCTATTTTTTCATGTATTTAGAGCTTTTTAAGTATAGACTTTAAAATGGCAGGACTTCTACAGTGTTTACATGCAAGTGCATTTTATAAGTGTCCTATATGTGTAAAATAGTATTTCGAACGGGAAAATGCTAGCTATAGTAGCAGGCTGAGCGTTTTCCTGGTTTCCACGATGATGCCTACGTTGCTAGACTACAGTTTATAGTACTGCTTTGTATCATGAGGCCAAGAAATTCCATGTTGTTTGTAAATAGAATAAATGAAAGGCAATAAAAAATTTATTGAACAAAAACCCTTTGTTTGGCCCATAGTTTGTTGAACCAAATTGTTTCTCTAAGTCCAGAATTCCTTAGATGACTCCATTCTTTTAACAACCAGTTATTAATAATCACATCCATCATTAATAGTTGCTTTAATGCTTGCACCTGGGGAGGTACTAATGCTTAATAGCAGTCAGATACTGATGCTGTGCACTGACTGTTGTTCCAGAAATCTTCTACCCAATTCAGAAACTGTTCATCGTTTTTTGTTTTCCAATTTTCCTTCATCGACTGCTACTAACCATTAGTCGTTAGTCATATTTTATCTCTATTTCTCCTGTTAACCGGTTTTGTGGGAGTGGGCTTCTCCTTCACGTGTCCAAATCATGATGGAGGGCTGTCATGATTTTATTGCATTCTGTAGATGGTGTCGATCAGTATGTCAGAATTAAACATGCTTGTTTTTTTATTAGTTGTGATTAGTTTTCATGTTGTCATTAAGCCGTCACTAGCTGGAACTAATCTCTTCTCTATCTTTTCTTTCTTTTTTTTTGTTTTTGTTTTTTTTATTTTTTTATTTTTTTTATTATTTTTGTTTCTAACCACCCAGCCGCCACCGGCAACTAACCTATGACCTTCTGACCTCTGAACTCTTCACCCAATGATGACCTGACCATGCCTGCCTGCTGATCAGTTAACTGGTAAACGCCTTTGCTTGCCTGTCTTCAGTGCAGCGAGCTGGGGCACTTGTCCGTTCGTCTTACCATCTAACAAAACAGACAAAGAAATTGTTGTCCTCCAACTCCGCTTTTTGTTGTTCTCCTGTTTGGGTGAAAGTGGTTCTAGAACCTGCACTGAATAGTAGTAAAGCAATAAGGTCCAACTCATCCCTCCGCACTGATCATCCTCTAGTGTCCCGCCCCAAGCGAACGGTAAGGAGGCCTCGCACCAGATGGAGACAGATGTCCCTTAACTACCCGATGACAGAGGCAGTTACTGTGAGAGACTTCTAGGAATATTTTTCTTCTCAGAAAAAAAAAAAAAAAAAAAAGAAAAAAAAAAGTCAAAGCTCTCTCTCTGAATGTACTGTGTGATGATGCATCATGCATGAACCTTTGGTCAGGGATGTCATTGGGGAAGGGATTCCAAAAAGTATTCAAAATTTGATATGCTGTTTAGTCACTACCAGTGCCCTCAAAGGGCAGATGTTGCAGCCTTTTTTCTATTGCCTGCCAAATTGGACGTTTTAAAGGAAAGTGTGCCATGAAATGCAGATTACGATGACTTTTCAGAACTACATTAATGCAGAGAACAAAACAGCAACACTATTAAAGCGAAATACAAGTTTAAATTGTTTTAACCATATTTTAATCTCCTTGGAAGATTACATGAGAACAAGGTACATGCATTATGTGTCACATTACTGGGCAAACTGTTCAAATATTTTTTTTAAACCTCCCTGTATAGAAAAAATTTCATTAAGGATGTAAAAGCCATGCTTGCCTATTTGCTGTATACATGTAATGAAATGTAGATAAAGTGTAGTGCATTGAAACAAAATGAACAAAAAAGTAGATACTTTTACTATACAAGGGTGCTGGTGCAGAAAAAAAATATATTTTTGGAAATGTAGCATTTTATACTTTCAAGTGTTATAAAAAAAAAAAAAGAACAAAGAAACCCTTTATTTCATGAAATGATTTTTTCTGGTGGTTGTCAAGAAACAAAAGACCAAAAGAGCCTTTTAGTCTTTCTTTTTTATTTTTTAAGTATTGGAATAAGTCTAAAGAAAAGGAAGTGCCTTATTTTCTTCATGGTCATTTAGTCAAATGTCTTGTATAATCAGCTTCTCCCTCAGACAAGTTACTGCATGCCACTCAGTCGCCCAGTATGTGAAAGAAGCTGTGAGGGAAGACAAATGATGAGTTGACCATATTAATTACCTGATTTTTGCCATACTAGTGTGATGTGACTTTGCCAAAATCTCATTAAGTGAAGTATTTGCTAAGTTTTCATCAAACCAGCCCATTATTATTTCAGCCACTCTACTTTTTAAATCATAGCAAATGCCGTACTTGTGCAACGTAAACCAAAGGGTTCTGTGATACAGACTGTCTCATGCTAAAGGAGATTATTAGCTGACAAATGTTTGTAGAGCTGGAAGTTACGTCATTTTTGTTCAGGGATGGAGAGGAGTTTTCTTGATTCTGGTTGAAATAAATATTACATCAACTGTAGTAGTCTTCGGCATCACCCAGAAAATTGATGTTCTGCAGATAATGAAACTGAAAGTGCTTAGCGAGTTTTCAGTCAGTGGCTGAGCACATCCCCAGTTTCCAGGAACAGCTTCTACAGTGGCAAACAGCATGGAAGTTGCTTTACTTTTCAGCTCATCTTTGACTATTGTTAAATCTGGCCCATTGGCTTTTCTTGAAAAGATAAGCAGGAGAGGGACTTCAGCCATTTGAAGTCCAGCTATACCTTATTTTTAACCCTTGTTTCCACATGAGGTTCGAATAGCTGGGCAATTGCAAGAGCTGAAGCTGTTAAACGCACAGTATTTAATTCTGAGAACATTAAGTGTTACATTGTGGGGCTCAGTACTAAACTTGGCAAATATCAGGTGATAATTTTACTCCCCTCTTGTCAACTTATTCTCCTCCTGCAAATCTTCACAGCTTCCAAATGAAAGGTCAATAGTAAGCTAAGAGGGCTTACATTTTTAAGCACCTGCATGGTGACCTCATCTAACATCTTGTCTCACCTGGAAATAATTATCAGTTTATTTACTATGCAATAGACATTCATCCTTTCGTATTCAGCTAGATTTTTGTTTATTGTGCCACCAGCTTTGTCTTCCTGTTACACATACAGTTGTGTTGATTTCATTTACAGTATATGCTGTGCCATTTTGATTTTATTTTGGTTGGTTGGTTGAATAAACTTGCGACACTCGAACATTTGAAGAGAGATTTGCTAAAACAATACCAGTATTTGATCCAGTTTCATCTCAACTATGATAAAACCTGGACATTTTAGACATTTATCAAAGGTCTTTTTTTGGGGGGGAGGGGAAGTGTATGGAATAGATGTGTGACATGTGAAAGCAATGTTTGCTCTGAACAAACTTCTGAAAACTTAGTTGACAAAATTTTGGATCAGCTTAAAAAAAAAGCATGACTTTTGGAATCTCTGAATGCCTTGGTTCTCAGTATTATCATTCTTTAATGACTTTTTCTTTATTAAAATAAGTAGTTTTAAGACTTCTTTCTGACAGTATTATGTAATTTTTTTAGAGTGGGTAGATGGGAGTGTCGCTTGTATGTAACCGTACAGATGACATGTATTTGTCTATTCTTTATTATCTTAGTAGTTTCATGCTATGTATGTACCATAACCAACCTATTGCCTATGAGAAACATGTAAGATAATGTATTTACAGCCATTGTTACAAGTTTATAATGTATTTTTCTATCTTGTTTTATATGTATGTTATATAACATTCAAAAGAATTTTTTTCCTGATTGAGAAAAAAGGATACAAAATGCAAAACCCACAATTTTGATAACTGAAAAATTGCCAATTGTTTTGCAGTACTTTATTATATTGGGAGTGTTGTCTTTCTTGGGCTTTTAGTTAGCTACTGGATGAATACATTAGACATATTTGGGTTTTAGTTGGGTTTTTACATAGCTTGCATTTTAATTCTTTGGTTCTTTGCTGTTTCTATTAACCCATAGCATTATTTTAATAAATGTTATAATACCAACCTACTAACTCTGGATTATGTCTGTTTATTAACCATTACATGTTTAATTAAAATAAACAAATAAAGACGGAAGAATGTAAAGTCGAGTTACTGGACTAACCCTGAAGAACGTGACCACAGATAACACAACGTGACTTGTTTTTATGTTGTTTGTCAGCTGACATTCTGCACACTACTATTAAGTTGGCTTTGGTCATTCTGGCCTTTTACCTTGGGGAATAGGTGCCAGTAGAAATGGGAACAAAGTAGCATTTTTGAGGCATTCTTCTTGTAGAGTCTTGCCACTTGCCTTTCAGCATCTGCAGTACTAATTCCACACTTTCTTTTTCTTTCTCTAAAATAATTATTGTCGGCTCACAGCAAAAGAGCAAAAGATGCCAGTGTATTGGTAAATTGTGATGGTGTACAGAAACCAGTTTGATTCTTTGTTGAACCATTCAGAGGTTGCAGTTAATCACACAGTAATTTGTGATTTGTTGGTTTTGGCACCTGATTCACTGTTGCATCACGTGATGTTTCTAAGCACAAAATATTTCTGGATAGAATTGCTGTACATTGAAACACAAAACCTGGGGGTTTCCTTTGGAAAAAGTGCCTTCTTTATACCATGCTGTTTTAAGTAACTTTATTTTTGGTACTTCTGCTGAAGTCTATCAGTATTGCCTAGCTCAGGGGAGTACAACTTCTGTAAGCCAAAGGTCAGACTGGATCTTTTCCTAGTGACTACAGAAAGTACAAAAATACACCTTTCACTAAATTACCAAGCAACATCCATTTCAAATTCCAGAGCTGCCTTTATGTGATCTTTATCTCTGTGGATGACTAGAGCAACATGAATGCAGGGAATTGAAATGGTGAAAATGCTGTTTTGAATGTTCATCTATGCAAATATTTTTACAGATATGCTTCCCCTTTCTTAGAAGTACACTGTCTGAGGCTCCTTTACATCTCCCAGGTAGTTCTAGATTTGTAACCTTGAGTGGGCAGTAATTATCACTAATGTTGAGGGAAATCCTCAATGCAGATAACTTTTCAGATGTCAGCAGTTTTCTTCCTAAAAGTCCATTTTTTTCCTGTAGATAGTAAAATTTCAGATGAGGAATCTGAATCTGTTCAAATTCCTCCTTTAATTTATGACTTTTCAAACTATTTATCTTGAAATACATGCAATATAAAACTATAGAGTTCTCACAGTATTGCTAATTAAAATTTTATGCATCTTTACGGAGAAAATAGTCTAGCTTTGATGACATTTGTTAGTTTTCTACTGGCATGTAGTTCTTTGTTTTACAAAAGTTTTAGGTAGAGATGAAATACTAATTCATTTTGAATAGTTTCACTTGTGCAGAATTTTCTTTTTTAATTTAACAGATCATGTTGCTATCCTAAAACTCAGCCACAGGCAGATAATAGGAATATTAGATATTTATAACAGATAATATCTGGACCTTTTAACTGGATAATAGAACAAGTGTCATTACAGAGCAAATAATTTATATTCTTAAAGAATTTTACCAGAGGCACACATGTAGTTTGGTGAAGTGCTCTGTCCAGTATAGGTGAAACTATTCAGATGGAACAAAATTTTAATGTTTTATATTGAAGAATACTTCTATTTCCGGAACTACTGCTTTTCTGTAATATTTTTATTATTTTGTGTTTTTATCAATAGATGTTAACTACTGTTATACTTTGTCCACAGTGCATTTTCATCTCATTCTTCAGTATATACAGTAGTCAAAGTTGCTGTAAATTTTGTAGTACTTTAAAGCTGAAGGAAAACAAAAATAGGAAAACGCTAAAATCAAAATAATAGATTCATTATTGTTGTCCACCAAAGGTATTTCTCAATTTACCTGAGTGC